GGGTGTTCTTTCCTCCACCTATCTTCTCCCCGCAGGTGATCTCTGCAGCTCCCTGGGCTTAAACACCATCCACCTGCTGCGACTCCCAAATTCAGCGTTTGGCCCACAGCCCCAGGCTCGCCAATGTTGTTCTGCAGCCCACTCACCAGCAGGGACTGGCACCCATCCTCTGAGGCTGAAGGTCAGCGAAGGAGATCACACGCCAGGCATGGCTCCCCGCACACAGCTGGCACTCAATAAGTACAAACAGACAGGGAGACCAAAGGATGCTTTCCGGGAAGGAGGTGGAGAGGTGGCAACTAGGTCCGAGAACTGGTGGTGGGAAGGCAGCCCAGATCCAGGCCTTCAGGCCCAGGGACATAGGCTGAGGGGCAGGGCTGCCAAGGGACAGGCAGGAGTGGCAGAGGCTGCTGAGTTTGGCCTGAAGTCACGCCTGCCCCAGAACCCTGGCAGATCTGATGTGCTAGATCTCAAGAGGAGTGGGTCAGGCACACAGATGAACCCTCCAGGGTCCGGGCCCCACTGGAGTCTGAGGCCCAGCGCCCCTCCCTGCCACCCTCACAGCTCACTCCAGCCCTCACCTGCAGCTAATGGTCTGACACTCACCACTTCCCACTGGGCTGCCCTCTCTCCCTAGAGACAGGTCCTCACTTCTCCAGGATACATCTGTATCCCCAGGGAGTCCTGTGCCCTGGAATGTGACAAGCTCTGGCTGGAAAGATTACCAGGGGGAGGGGGAAAACTTCCCGCCTCAGGTGAGAATACACAGGGTCTCTAAAATTTTCCATATTTCCTTCAAGTCTTCACTTAAGTAAAATATTCTCAGCGAAGCCTTTCCTAAAATGCCAAGTCTACTCTACAATCCTAAGACAGACAGACAGACAGACAGACAGACACACACACACACACACACACACAGAGCTAATGTCTCTCCCTGCTTCACTGCCTTCTCTCTCTCTCTTTACTAGTCTCTGCCACACTCTACTGACACCCTGTTGTCCCCCACTACAGGAAATCTCCAGTAAGCCAGGGATTTCTGGCTGTTTTGTTCATCACTATGTCTGAACTCTTAGAATAGCACCTGCAACACAGTAAGATCTCAAAATAGATTTTTGGAATGAATGAATTATTAACTATGCTTATTTAAGTACTTCCTGGGCACTGGGGACTTTTGTCAGCAGCTGCTTAATGCCTTACTCAGCACTGCACCCTCGCAAACACCCTGTGGGGAAACACAGTCATCCCAGGATCTTCTCTGGTTCCAAGACAGCCCAAATCACCAAATCAGAGGGTGCTCAAGTCTCATAAAGTGACAAAGTGGGGCAAGGAATGGTGGTGCAGGCCTGTAATCCCGGCTCTCAGGAAGCTGAGGCAGAAGCATCACCACAAGTTTGAGGCCAGCCTGGGCTACGTAGTGAGTTCAAGATCAACCTGAGCTACAAACCTAGACCCCATCTCAATAAAGCAAAACAAAAAACTCAAAAGTGTCTGCATATAACAGACACACTTCCTTCTATATACTATAAATCACTATAAGGTTATAGTCCTTATAACACCTAGTAAGCCTATAATCCCAGCTCTTGGGAGGCTGAAGCAAGAGGGTCACTGAGAGTTTGAGGCCAGCTTGGATTACATAGCAAGACCCTGTCTCAAAAGCAAAACAAAGGCTGGGGATTTAGCTCAGTGACATAAGCACCTGCCTGTCAAGCGCAAGGTCATGAGTTCGATTCCTAGTACCAAAAAACCCCCAAAACACCTAGTATTGTACAGCACAAAAGCTGTGTAACCAGTTGTTACTCTGTATTGTGCAGGGAACAATGAAAAGGTCTGTCCTGGTTCAATGCAGATGCACTTTTTTCTCATTCCTTCAATCTGCTTGCTCCGAATCCCTGGATGTGGAACCCACAGATACAAAGGCCAACTGTGTATTTTTAGTTTTGGAGAACACTGAGTCTCAGAGAAATCAAATTGCTTGCCTGAGGGTACACATTTTAGGGCCACCCCAGAGGAGAGGAGGGAGAGAGAAAAGGGGCAGCATAAGCCTCAGAAGAACCTGCTCAGCATCCTCCACTGGTGCAGCCCAGCAGAGCCTCCCAGTCACAGGCCATGCCATAGCTTGGCACTGGGAGAGTTCTTGCTGCTGGTTATGGGCCCAGAGGGACAGGACAGGATGAGAACAGGGCAGGGGCCACTCAGAGCAGTCTTGAAAACAGCCAGCAAGGGGAGTGAGTGCTCGTGAACTTGAGCCCTTCCCTCACTAACCCGCCCTAGGTCATCTGTCCCTAGGCAGCCCTAAGAGGACTGGCAGGGAGACCAGATTTTCTGGGCTTTTCTCAGGATTTACACTTGGCCACCTTTAGGCTCCTCTGATGGGGGAGTCTGCGTGGCCTCCTGGGCTTTATGGTACTCCATAAATGTTTACGGCACCGAATAAACAAGGTACAGAACCAAAGCAGAGAGACTTCTAGCAATGACCACCCTGAGCAAGCAGGAAGAAGCCTTCATACAGCCACACTGCTTAGGCAATGTTCTCCCCTGGACAGCACCTAAGAATCATGAGAAGCCAAGGTTTTCTCATTTTTGTATTTCTTTTCTTTTTTCAGTACTAAAGAAAGAACCCAGAGCCTCTGCATTGAGCTACATCCCCAGCCCTTTTTTAATATCATATTTCAACATAGGGTCTTGATAAGTCACTAAGTTGGTTGGGCTAGAATTTGAAATCCTCCTGCCTCAGCCTCCCAGAATGCTGGAACGACAGATTTGTGCCACTCTGCCTGATGACAACAGGTAATTTCTTTAAAAATGAAAATAGTCGAATTTGCTCCTCGATACCCATATTTAATAAATCTGGGGTGAGGACCAAGAATCGGCATCTTTACTAAGTCCCTACCTACTCCAACACGTACATCAAAAGTCATGCCAGGCCCAGAACTGTCCCGAGAAATACCAATTTGGGGTGAGGCTTGGAATGCAGGTAAGTTTTTGGGGCAGGAATAGGTTGCCCTAAGGGGAAATTCAGAAGGATAGCTGGACTTTTTGAGATAGTCAGAGATCTATCTGCCTGTTTGGGGTATTTTCTTACAGCGGAAAAACAAGAAGGAACTTGAACTGCCTGTGTCCAGCCTCCCTCCCCAGCACCTAGAACGCTGGGGCTGGAAGAAATCCAAGTGCCAGCTAGTCTGGGACTCTCCAGGGCAGACTCCTCTGGGAGTCCCGGCAGCTCCAGGACCGGGATGAGCAGCGGATCCCCAGGAACACGGGCCTGGGCTTTGAGAGCCTGCAGCCGGGACACCGCTGTGCTTTCCGTCCAGGCCAGCCCAACGCCAGCCTCCACGGCCCTCCGCCTCTCACTTCTCTAAACTGAGCCAGTCGCTCACTCCATGCTTCCTGTAGGTTTCTTTCTTTCAACTCTCCAGTTGGTGCAGCGAGTCTGCCCGGGTGCAGGACAGATGCTGTGCTTTTCTAACTTCTCTGCATTTTCCTTCTGAACCTTGAGGGTTTTCACTTCCTCCCCAAGTCTCAGTTCTGCCTTTAACAGGCTGTTCAGATCATGAGACCCCCTTGCCCATCCTCTCTGAGCACCAGGGAAACAGAACTGCTACTTCTGGCTGTGTTCAAAGGGCCTTGCGGCCACTCAACAGCAAAAAGGAAAGGCTGGAACCTTGGGACAGGTGGCCCAGGTCTCTGCCTTTCCCATACTCTCCATCCCGTCCCTGCCTTCCCTCCCTCAGGCTCTTCTGCCCCAGGATCCTCTGGCCCAGGGTGACTCCCAGCTTGTCCGCCAACTCTCATCTCCGCCTGCTGATCTACTTTGACATTTGGGAGTCTTAGGACCACATGGAGCACAGAGCCAAGGAAGGAGTGGGCCTCTGTCCCAACTTCTGGGAACTTCAGTCAAAGTTTTATGTAGATCTAGCAAGAATTAGAAAGTACAGTTCTCAATCAAAGCCCAGTTCTCAACCAACAGTCAGTCAAAGCCTGGTTGTTCTCAATCAACTGCGCAGTTTCTGGCAGCTGGAGCCAGGAACACGCCAGCCCAGCTCTCTACCAAAGCAGGAACTCCTAGGAACGGACAAGGTGTTCACCCCAGGAGTGCAGTAAGGTCTCAGATGGTAAAGCCAGAGCCAAGGCCTCCTTAGCCAGGAAATCCAGAAGTCTGCCTACTACTCCTTGGTTTTCTGCTGTGTCCTCAAAGCCCTCAGACCCTAAAATAAACTTCTGGAGAAGCAAGCAGCTGCCCAGTCCTTCCAGAGGAGACACTAGACAGGCAGGCTGGGCTCACAGCCAGAGTCCGTAGAAAGGCCAGGAGGCCAGGCAGCGCGCAGGCCACAGTTGCAGAGTGGCCTTGCCCTGTCCTTTTCCCCTCTCTCTGGTCCGAAGCGGGAGTTCAGAGCTAGCCAGTCCCAGCAGGGCTCAATCCCTCGCTGCCCACCCTCTGGAGTCCCAGGACCGGGACACTCAGCTTGGCTGAGTTGCTGCTCGCGTGCGGCTGGAAATTTCGTGACTCAGAGCCTATGATGTCAGTGCCTTCATAGAAAGGACAGTCAAGTCCTGTACTCGGACATCCCCAGAGGGCCGGGGAGGAACCAAGCGAGGCGACCCCCGTTCGGGCCGACGAGGGAGAGGGGCGCTGTTACAAAGGACGCCCCACAGCAGAGCGGTGCCCGCCTGGCTCATAGCGCTCTCTGGGTCCCCTGCTTTTACAGTGGGGTAACCGGCGATGCAGCCCTGGAGGACGGGTGCGGAGAGTGGGGAGCCGGGGAAGAAGTCCGGTTTCTGAGAATGCGCCTTGTCCTGTACTCAGGAGGAGCTGCACACAGGCCAAGGCGCAGGACGCGGCAGTGAGCACGCACGCGGCTCCGACGCTGCACCTGTGCTGCGGCCACCCGGTCACTCCTCTCGTCCTCCCTCCATCCTCCCCGCTGTGCTGTCTCCGGAGGCCCCGCAGCCTCGCCCACCCAGCAGCTGCCCGGTCCCCCGCCGGCGCGCGGAGCCCTTACCCGGCTCGGTGCAAACCCACGCCTCTCCCGGCGCGGCCAGCAAGGCGGCCAGCAGCACGCAGCCGGCGGCCAGCATCTTCCTCTCGGCGTCGCAGAGGACTGCGGGGCAGGGCGGCGCGGCGGCGGGCTCCGGCGCCCGGGGCGGCCGCCAGCCGCGCGGGCTCCCTCCGAGCTCTCGCTATGCGGCTCTCGACTCTGCGCCGCGCTCTGCCCAATTCGGTGTCAGTGCGACTTCCCACTTGGACATGACTCAGAGCAGAGGACCGTCCTGGAAACAGCGCAGGAAGACATTTGAGGAACTCGCCGGAGAGCCTCTGGGCTGTCCCAGGGTGCAGTTACGAAAGCCCGAGCCGCAGATGGCGCAACAACAGCCCAGCGCAGCGCGCGCCCGCAGGGGGGCGGCTTCCTGCAGCCGCGCGCACCTGAGCCCGCCGGGCAGGGCCTTGAGCCCTCGGGGCCCCTCCCCAGGCTGTGTACACGAAGGAAGGGAAATAAACCAGTCTGGCTCGGCTTTGAGTTTTGGTTTCGTGAGCAGGGTGTAGCTGTGAAAGACGCACCTGAAGAGCGCTGGAGGAGGCACCCTGTGGTTGCAGCAAGTAACGTGTTAGATTGGGGTTGCCCGCCAGAGTCATCTGTGGAGCCCCAGGTGACACAGAAGTGTGGAGATTCTGGTTTAATTGATCCCTTAGAAGTGAGACTCAGGCGGTGACACTGGAGCAGAGATGGTGTCTTTCTCTGCCCAACTGCTCCTCAAAGGAAGCAGCAAGAAGAGTCAAGAAAATGGATTGGGCAGAGAGACCCGGGTTCCCTTCCAGGGACTGCTGTGTCCGTGACTGCTGCTCCGAAGCTCTCTGCCCTCATTTGTGGACAAGGCCACCGAGATTTCCGGAGATGACATCCAAGCCCCTGGGGCACAGGTGTTCAAGGAGGACCTGCATGGCAACCCTCGTGCCTCAGCCCACTGAAACTAGCCCTTGACTCTCAGGAACAACCATAGGGCAGGATCCACCAAGTCCTCCTCACCCTGCCCCAACAGCCAAAAGCTGATAGGGTGGCTCCAGAGCTACATTTGGACAGGAGGAGATCAGGGGGCAGCCGGATGGGTGTGGCCTGATGGGAACCCCAAACTGAGAGCAACTAGCCTGCAGGTACCAGAGATTCTGCAGGACTCATGCATTTGCATCTTCCTCTGCCAGCAGTGCCAGGCAGACTGAACCCATGCCAAGCTAGCAGACAGAAGAAGCATGTTGGCCTCCTCCCCCCCAAGCCCTGTCTCCTGCTAACTAAAGTGGAGCTGCTGCAGCAGGACTAGAGGACAGTCCCCACTGCGGTTGCCCCCTTCCTCTCTGTGGCATACACAGGCCTGAAAATAATCCAAGAGGGACTACCAGCTGCCAGCCTAAACCAGGAAGGCTGCACAAAGGCATCTACTCAGATAGAGCAGACAGGAGAGTTTAACAGAGAAATGTTGGCACCAAGAGCTGGCATCGCATGCCCTGCCTGGCCTCTGTGTCAAAGCGGGTTCCCCTCATTTCAGTCCCCTCACAGGCAGAGTCCGTCTGGCTCCTCCTCATCTTCCTGGCCCATTTTCTTCATCAACATTTCTTTCATGCAGTTTTGTTCCTACGTCATGGTTCATGGTTGCTCACGGGTAGCTCTGTTAAACTCGTCCCCTCACCAACCGTTCCCTTCCTTTGCCCTACACCATATCCCCCTTGAAAACAAAGTTCAGATGTTTTCTCCAGGAAGCTGACTGTTTTCTTCCTACTTCTCTGGACTCCCATCACCCATGCAGCTGTCTGATCTCTGTGCTCCCTCCAAACCCATGCTGACTTTTTTAAACCCCTGACCCTCCCTGCAATACCATAAACCCATCTGTGTCCCCACTGCTGGATGGGTCTGTCATGCAGTGAGGATCTTGTCTGGTAGACATGACCTCCCCTAGACAATTCATGTCTAAACTTCACATGAAGTGCACGATCAAAATTCTTGGGCCACTGGGTGTGGTGGCACATACCAGTAATCCCAGCACTCGGAAGGCCGAGGCAGGAGGGTCACCATGAGTTAGAGGCAGTCCTGAACTATGCAGCAAGACTGTCTCAAACTCTGCTTCCCCAAAAAAGACTGGGAGTGTGCTGAGTGTAAAGACCCTGAATTCACTCCTTGTTGGGAGCCGCAGCCCCGAGCCCAGTCGCCTCACTTGGCGGACGTGAGGCCTGTAGTAAAGAGTAAAGCCTGAGGTAGATTACCCCTCCCATCGAGCACGTTAGTTTCCTGCTTACCGCGTAAGCAACCCGCTCAACAATATAGTCTGCCTGGCAACTGATGATGTTAGCCAATCAGCTTGCCTTGCTTACTTTAACATGATTGGACACTGTATCCGTATATATACTGGTGCCACCCCTGGGGGGGAAGAAGAAGCCCGGAAGTAGAAGCCTAGAAGGAGCCGCGGGGAGCGGACCAAAGGAGGCTTCGGCTGGGAGCGATCCCAGGGCAGGCTGTACGGAGAAGGAAAATAAAAGAAAAGGTTGTCCACTGCCAGACTTTGTCGTGTGTCCTTCCTGCCGGCCGGGAGCGGACATCGACAACTCCTCAGTGCTTGAGGGGAAAAAACAACTTGGGCCAACATTCAGGTTGTTATGAAAAATACTGATAAGGAAGGGAAAAAAGTCCCTGCACAGTTCAGCCTGCCCTCCACCAGTCCTGATTCCTCTTGCCAGCACTGCCAGCATCTTGTCCCCAAGAAGGAGAAAAGACATAGAGTTGGCCAGAGCTCCAGGGTGAATGGCAGGCTGGGCAATGAGGACATCTGGCCTCTGGAAAATAGAAATGAGACCCAGAGGATCTTAGAGGTGCCTCTGTGATTCTGCAGCTGAGGGACAGGGAGGACTTGCACCATTAAAGTCAGACACCCCTCTTGGCCCCCTGTGCTGCTCATTTCACTGTCACCTTGAACTTCTCAACTCTGAGGACTGGAAGGCCTCATCAGATGAGGCTCAAAAGGGGCGCAACTTGTCCAAGACCACACAGTGGCTGTGTGACCCAGGACCAAGCACTCTGCGGACGTCTGTCTACCCTGTCATGACAGGCACCAGGGGTGGGCTGTCCAGGAGGAGAGATTAGAGAAGCAGGACTGGTTTTGGAGCCTCCCAGACCAGCTCCTCTGCCCTCTCTGGTGTCCAGGTAGTGACCCTCCATCTCCCCTAAAGGGAAAAGCTCTGAGCAAACAAGCCTGCCCTCACCTCTGACCTGCAGAGATTAGGCTTCCAAAAGTTGACCAAAGACAAGAGACACCCAAGACCTCCTATAAAAAATACATAAGGTTAATTTTAATCCCAAAAGGACTCAATCATCACCTGCTCCTCCTCTCTTGCTCTACAGAAAAGGAAACTGAGGCCTCCAGGGTGAGGCTGTTTGCTAAAGGTTGCATAGTCTATTCTTGATGACTGACCCTGGTGTCCTCCTTACCCAGGTTCCCTAGCGTGGCAAGCCCTTCAGGCCATTCCCAAGGGACCAGCTACTGTAAAGCTGCACCGTTCAGGGAGATAAGGGAGGATCTGAGGAGCCTGGGCTCCCCTGGCCTCTGGCACTGAGGTCACTCCTGGGCTCCCAGGATATCATAATTATACGATGGCACTTCTCACTCTCTGTAGGTCCCCTTTCCCCTTTCTTATCAGCCTGAAGGAAGCATATGGCAGATAAAGGTATCCAGTGGGGGCCTCTGGGCAACAGAACTCAGAGCCAGGCCACTCCCTCAGCCCCCTGGGAGACTCTGGTTTTCAGGGAAGAGAGTATGCAGCAAACAGACAGCAGACTCACCTGGCCAGGTCTGCAGCAGGGCTACAGAACATCACCTGCTAAGTTCTCCCTAGAGAAGGATTTCTAGCACTGCTCTCAGAAAGGAATTATAAAAACTTTCCCCCTCTTTCTAAAATTCGTAGGATGTTACGGTTTTGTAACTCCTCTTTTTCAAAGGTTTTGTAACTCTTAAGCAACATCATGCCAGAAATTAAAATAGAACTGCTGTGTGATGCAGCAGTTCCACTTCTGGACAGATACACAAAACACTGAAAGCAGGGATTCGAACAGATGCTTGTATCCCATAATCCGTATTCCCATATCCCAAAGATGGGAAAGCCCAAATCTCCATAACACAATGGAGTATGTACATACACTGGAATTTTTTTTTATTTCTCGAATGATCAGTGATGTTGAACATTTTTCACAAATTTATTTCATGTGCTGGAATACTATTCAGCCTCAAAAGGAAAGGAACTCTGACACATGCTCCAAGGATGAACTTGCACACATCATGCCAGGCATCAAAAGGGAAGTACGGGACTTCACTTATATAGGTACCTGGAGATCCAATTAACAGAAACAGAAAGTAGACTGGGGCTGTCAGTGATCAGAGGGAGGAGAGGAAGCTACTGTTTAGTGCGCAGTTTCACAAGATGGAAGGTGTGGCGGTAAACATCCGTAATGCCAGCACCTAGGAGGCTGAGGCAGGAAGATGTAAAACTTTAGGGTAGCCTGGGCTATCTTTAAGGCCAGCCTAGACTGTAGAGTGACAGTGCCTCAAAATAAATAAATAGAGATGAAGAATGATAATGGTTGCACAATATCAACTGCTTGACACCACTGCATGTTTAAAAATAGTGCGAGTGAGTTGGGTGTGGCAGCACATGCTCATGATCTCGCTGTTATGCAGTGGAAGGCACGAGGATCCCAAGTTCAATCACAGCCTAGGCAAATCAGTTCAATCAGTTTTGCGGTCGCCAAAAACTAAAAAAGGCTGAGTATGTAGCTCGGTGGTAGAGTTCTGATCTAGTGTTAGGGTTTAGAATGTCCTGCTGGATGCAGTGGTGCACTCTTGTGATCCTGCCACTCAGGAAACGAGGCAAGAGGATCACCTTGAGTTGGGGGCCAGCCCGGCCTGTGTTGGTCACCGATGCTGTAGTGTTGCAAACAGGACAAAAGAAAACAAACTTTCAAAAGTTTCTTGGCAAGGCAAACTACTTCTGTAGAAGGGTCTGGAGCTAGACAAAAGCAGGCAAGCTCACCAAGCTGGTGGTTCGCTCAGATTTTACCCCTGCCTCGAGGTCCTCAGAGTTCCTCGCTGTGTCTGCTCCCTCGGTGGGAGTGTGGCCTCCTAATCCAACCCAATGGGTTAGTGTCATGAGGGCATGGTTGCTAGGCAAAGGCCTTTGTTACAAAACTGTATGGCAGGTGGACAGGCAGGTAGTTCTTTATTTCAAGTTTTCAAGGAATGGTGAAACAAGCGCATGTATATTTTATAAAAGTAGGATTTTGCAAAAGTAGGGATTCTTATAACATGGA